GAAGACACGACTCACATTATATTTATAAGATTTGACAGGATTCCTTCAGAGCCACAGAAGACAGCTGTTTTCATAAACGCGGTTCTGCTGCCTGTGACTAGTAACCTGACCTTGATGTCTCCGTTTGGGGAGTTCCCTTTCTTTCAGTTGCTGTCCTGCTTTTCCAACCTTGTCTCAGATGTCCCCTGGGCGGTCTTCTAATCTTACTGATGTAATCAAGCTGGTTTGTCTCTCTGGCCAAAATCAAGAGAGACATTACATCTCAGGAACACGAGAACGGCCTCCGCCGGTCTCCTTGCAGCTCTGCTTGTTTTGGGCTTTTCTTTGACTTGACGACAAACATCTGTCTGCCTGTGAGAGCAGCATAGAGAGTAAGACACCTGCTTTTCATTCAGCACAGACACAAAGAGGCACTGGCCATGTGATGACAGTGATTTAGCAGTGGAGATCTACTGTCCTACAGTGAAGACCTCTGGCAGAAAACAGGCTGCAGCTGTGGGCCTGTTGTCTGCTGGGACCGTGTGTGTTGGCGAGTATGGATCTCGTTATCCAAGGTGCCCACATATTAAATCATAACGGTACACACACACACATGCACACTCCTCGCAGCCTTTGTATTGATTTATATTGACCCATGGCTATGGAGGGCCGGTCATTAAATTAACACACACCAACAGGGGAAACTGATGACTCCACCATACCACGACCTCAGCTGTGTGTGTGTGTGTGTGTGTGTGTGTGTGTGTGCGTGCGCTCGGCTTAGGTCATTACCTCCCTGCACATAAAGCTGTGCTCTTTCTCCCTGAGACACAAGCGCACTCACTGTGCCCTCTCTCTGGAGCAGAGTATCGGCAGCAGAATGACTTCCAGGCCACAAAGCCCAGCTCATTTCTCAGCCTGAGGATTGTGGGAAAAGCTGCATTTGGTTTCCTGTGGGAAAACAAACGCTTTTACCTGCACATTCATCTTCTTTAAACTCCATTTATAATGAGCAGGATAGGACCTAAATGTCCTGGATATGAGAAACTGGAGCATCCAGGCTGGAATCGACTGATATGAGGTGGAAGCAGCAGAATGTGTTCACTGTTGGTTGGGGTGTGTGTGTGGGTTAAAGATCAACCACATAACACACTACACAGAACACTGGTGTTGCCATGTGTACGCTTCCTTACAAAAACAAACTTCTGGTTTGTTTAAAGCCAGACCAAGATCTGGTGCAGTAAGGGGCCTGTGAGTGCTGTTTATCTTTATAATAGTATAATATGAATCTAATACAAACACGCTTCACCTCTCTAACCTGCTCCATACACAGTTAAAGGATAACACTGGCTATTTTATATCATTTTGTTGTCAAGTCACATGAAAAGACCAAAACCAAGGCGTTAGTTTCAGCTCCAAGCTCATTGGTTCTTACAGAAGGAAGCACAAATACATAGTTTCCTTTTTTAAAGGTGCTGCAATTTCTCAAAGCAGCTGGACACCGTGGGCGTAACAATCAAACCGGCGGAAACGGTGCATTTGTTGGGACTATTTTCAGTGCAGGATGAATCCACATTTGGTCTCCATTGAGTATTTGTGACAGCAGGACTCAGTCTGTGGGACTGAGTCAGAATAGACCCCAGTGTGTGTTCTTGGTGACGAGGGAACATGGCAGCCAGTGCATCAGTGTGGTCACTGATGTATGTGTGTGGCTCAGAGGAGCTCTGTGGCTCAGAGGAGCGAGAGCAGAACTTGTTAGTAGGAGGTGAAATCTTTTAGTTTAGGGATTTTCATAGGATTTGATGACAGTGTGACATCACAGTTATCCTTTTAAATAAACAACCAACTAAACTACAGCTCGTGAACTTTAAAGACGATGGGCCTAAGATCGTGTTGCTGACGACTGTGGGTGTTTTGAATTCTCTGTTAAACTGCTCACAACCCCACCGTGTAAACATTGAGGCAGTGTTGACGTGTTCAGCCACTTTATCTTTAATCTGATTATCTCAGTACTGTCAGGCCTGACGCCTCAACACCTTCAAGTCATTATTTAAATGGAAACAGTGTGTTTAACACTGAATGTTTGTATCCAGTTTGTCTGTTTGTGAGGACGCCTCACCCCGGTGTGTCGTTATCGGCCTGTTCAGGTGAAGGGTCTCCACACAGCAACACGGTGTTGGTTTAGCAACAGCAGCCTGGTTTCAGGTATATTCAAATGAATTGTATTGCTATCTTTATGAGGACCAGTTTCAGTTTTAAACCATCATAGCGAGGACAGTTCTCCACTCTGTGTCCTAAAAAAGAGCTTGTGATTGACTTTAACTTATTGAACTGGTTTGCTGTTCCCTCCCAGTGTCATGACGACAAAATAACTGAGGCAAGAGACGGCGAGGGACGGGTAGAGGGGGAGGCAGTGAGACAGCAGAGATAAGATAGAGGGAGATGGACAGTGAATGATCAGATAAGAAACTGTGTGTGTGTGTGCGTGTGTGTGTGTTACGTCCTGTTGAGAATCAGATGTCCTCACAAGGACAGAGAGATGTGCAGGGCTGGAGAGGTCATTTTAAGGTCAGAGGTGAATGCGTGATGGCACTCGTGAGTGGCTCAATTCAAAGATGGATGTGTCCTTCTCAGGCTGTTTTATGAGAAGGCTGTTTGAAGGTCTTTCACAAATTAAACAAATGTTTGCAGTTTCTCTTATTCCTTTTGCCTTTTGTGTCGTTAGTTGCTATAGAATCATTATTTTACCACATATCCCATACTGATATAAACACTACAGCGTATTTCACTTTGCACCATTTTCAGCTCATTTTGTTAAAGTTCCACCGTCAGGAATCTGCTTCTTGCTGGATGTTTCTGTGGTTTGTGGCCAACGTCTTAGTGTTCAGTTTATGAAAGATAAAACTCCAGTGTGTCAGTGCCAAGTTAAGCTGTGAACCAGCGGATCATCAGCCACTCAGAGGCTTCAAATGGGTTTATCTGACAACAGCGTGTCATTAGGTTAAAGGTCAATGCTTTGGGTTGTTAAGTCAGACCTCATCGAAACAGTAATTTCACATTTGTAGTGTACAACAGCAGAGCAGGTTTAAAGCTCTCTGCCGACGTCGTTTTCCTGGGCTGATAAATTCTGCCGATACTGTGATACCGGAACACACACACGTACATAGATAAAGTGGGTTGAGCGGGTTTCTGATTGGATTAGCAAAAACACATTGCTGTGTTTCCATCACTTCAGGGGACATTACCTTGACTGGAGACATAGCCTAACCTAAAACCAAGTTGTCACTTTACGTTTTTCATGATTTATGTTTTGGGGATTTGGTTTTTGTCCCTATAGGGCACTGAGCCCCCACAGTGTGAGTGTGTAAACCAATATGTGTCCCCACAACATGAGTAATATCAGCCCTTTGCTTCCCTCTGAATCCTGCTAATGTTAAGCCACACCTGAGTCAACACACACACGTCCCAAGACACATATAGACACATACACAACGTCTCTCTCACTTGCTCACACTTGACACGGTTTACTTCAGTCCATTAAAGCTGGATTTAGATAACACTGTTTCTGCTCAACTGCCTCTGCAGGGGCCCCGCACACACACACACGTACATGTACGCTGCAGTGTGTGTGACCTTGCAGCAGCGACAGCAGAGCTGCAGCATATATGGATGGTTTGTGTGTGTTTTGTGTTGTGCAGCCAGAGCACGTGTTAGAGCTCTAATCAAGACTTTCAGTGACCATATGTGCTGATCTGAGACCAGCTGTTTGATATTTATGGTCAGAGGCTGCAGCCACATCTCAGGCCTTAATGCTCAGATGTGACCTTGTTGTGTTGCCGTTTCCCATCCATGTGTGTCAGTGCCGCATACCTGGTTCTGGTGTGAACATGCACAGATGTAACTGAAATGTGGGCCACGTGCACACAGGAATAACAACCAGGTGGCGTGTGCGATGGTCAAGTGGCCCAGTTTCCTCCCAAACCACTGGGTTACGATATGTTCCTCCCAGTTTGTCCTGATCAGAAGCTTCTCCATAAACGTCCACCACATGTGAAACATCCTGGTCTCTCCTCTGACGCCGTTGCTGTCGTCGCTCTCCTCCATGTTTACTGTTACCGGTCTGTGAGGGGCCGACGCCAAATGATGACGACAGGCCGTATGTGCAGAGGAGAAGACGTTAAAATGACCACATGGATTCTGATCTGACCGTTCTGACGCCGCTGCACAGTCAGAGGTCGGAGAGGAATCGGGTCTAGGAGCACATACACAGGTGGCCCAGTTCTGAGGACATCTGGTCTGGTGTGTTCACACTGCTGTGGACGCATCCGGTGTGAGTCACTGGGAGGGTCAAACACTGTTGGCAGAGCAGCTGCAGACTGAAAACAAATAACTGGATTGTTTGTTTACTGTTTGTCTCATCGTTGTCGGTCTGTTAGTTTCTGTGGATATGAATGTTTTCAGAAACAGTGGTGACATCTCTTGACTTGTCTAGACTTGAGCACCAGCATCAGGTCAACATTTCCACATATTAACCTGTTACCATTTTCATTCTGGTGTGGTGTTGTCACTGCTGCACCTGGATCAGCTGGTGCCCTGGTCCAGAGCTCCCCAACTTTTCCCATCAAAGTAAACTGATGACCCACTGCAGCATAAATATTTTTAACCATCCTGTTACAGGAAGCACATGCACAGAGGCCCAGAAATGATCAAGAACTGAATGACAAGTTAGTCATGATAATCAATGAATACTGTCTGAGAGGTTGGTGAAACCTAGAAAGAGAAAGTCCAGAGAAACACCTTCTTTTCTGGAATTCATGGCATGAAAGTTGAGCAGCTTTTAGCTTTAATCCACAAAACTCTGTGATTGCTGATACCCACGTTGTATAAAACCCATTACACTGCTGCTGTTAGACCATCTGTTTCCATTCAGCATGTTTTTTTTTAAGCATTGCTGCTGAAATTCCAAATGAATGAAGTCTGAGTTGTTACGAACTGAAGGCGGCTGTTGTTTGTGTTCACAGGTCTCACAACAGAGGGTCTGTATCGCGTCTGTGGGAACAAGACGGACCAGGACAACATCCAGAAGCAATTTGATCAAGGTAAAACCCTCACACCAGTGCAGACACATGCCTACAGCAGAACCTCATAAATACATCTTCAGCTACCTGAACCTGAAGAAAGAGCACATGTAACTTGAGTTTCAAAGTACAGAGGCCGGTGGTTCTCATTATGGTCACAGATTGTGGTTCTAAATGGTGTTGCCCTGAAATTAATCATGCTGTTTAAGAACTCAGTGGAAAACGTGTTACTGATTGAGCTGCGCTTGTGTAATGTGTGCAGTAAATTCAACCAGCAGGGAAACCTCTAGCTGACTGATTGTACATCTGACCACACAGCAGAGGTGCTTAAAGAGAAACACATGTATGAGGGCTGGTCAGCCGCCAAACTGACTGTTAGGATAAATAAGGTCACCACAGGCAGAAATCACCAGCGCTTGGACAGGAATGGCAGTTATTTTACAGCCGGGTGGTGAAATATGGAGACTGCACAGAGATGAGGTCGTTTGTTTTTTACATTCTCTGAGTGATTACTGATTACTTTTTAACGTCTTCACTTTGTGTCTTCGCATTTTAAATAAACTTGTCAGGAATCTCGGTTAACTCTGAAGTAGCCTGAACATAAAGGGAAACATTGACTCATCATTGAAGTGTATGAATAATTAAAACGTTAGTACTGTATGTCTTAAATAACCAGCGACACCTTAAAGGAAAGTACTCGCCCTTAAAATGGAGTTAAACATGTCCTATTGACGGTGTCATCAGACTGGACCACACAGACATCAAATACTTCTCAACCTGCTTTTTCTGGCCATAGTTTCCTCCATGTCTAAGCTGTTTAGGTCCATTTGGGTGTAATATTAAGTGAACACTTTAGGTTCAGGTGACCCAGGGTTCGGCGTTCACCATGGCCTGTGGTCATTAAAGGTTACTGTATGGCCACCAAGCTCTATCAGATCTCTACTGAGAATGAGACCCCATGGTTCAGACCCTCTGCACTTCACCAACGCAATATTAATCCTTCATTTGTGTGTGACTGGAACTGAGCGGATCATGCTGGAGTTAATAGATGTTTTACAGCAGTTAGTTGTACTGAAATTACTGCAGCACAGAGAAGAGAGGAGATGTCAGAGGAGGCGGTCTGTGTGACCACTAAATGGACTGAGGCAGAAGGAGGGTGAGCTGTCTGTGCTTGTCCAGCCACTGAGACACATGGACATAGGAGGAAATGCAATGCAACAAAGTGGGCCAGCCACAGTCGCTGTGACGTGTAGTTTTGTTCTGAGGACGTGCACGTCAGACTATGTATGCATACTCTGCTTATTTTTGATGCAGAAACAGGCTTTACTTATGTATAATGTTCATCTTTAATGCAATGCATTTGCCCTGTCTTTGGTTTCAGTTACTGGGGAATAAATGTGACCGTTTACTTTATTTCACATGCTCCTCTGTCCTTTGGAGGGGCTAAAGAAAATGGTCTGTCCACTTGGTCTGTTGATAAGGACAAAAGAATCAACAGTTTTTTCATATAAGCAGAGTGTGTGCACCTCAGAACAGGAGAGGCGTACCTCACTGTGAAAACAACAACATATGACACATGAAGTGACTCTGCTGTTAGGCTGTAAATAAGAGAGTGAAAGTGAGAAAAAGCTGTCGGGGATGAAACGAGTCACTAAAAACAGCCCGTGGTGATTTTCCTGTCTGTTTCTGGCTCCGTTCGTTTTGTCTTTTCCGCCTTCCTTTGAAGTTGACAGCTAAATGTCATACATGTCGCGTCAGCCGTCTTTTACTAAATGTCTGAGATGTCCCCACAAAGCACACTGAGCCGTGACTGTCAGAGACCGACTCTGGCCCTCGAGTCGACTCTGTGCAGGCGTTAGGTAAAGCTGCTGTTGTCCCACATGTCACGTTGCTCCCTGCAGGTAACTTTGTCCTGTTTTGACCGGACACATGCATCCTGCAGTGGTTCTTCTCTCTGCAGCTGGATAACATCTGTCTGTGGAAATCACACCATTACTGTTAATTAGCTCCTCTCTCAGCGAGAGGGGAGAGTTGACTTCTGGCTGCTTCTGCCACTTAAGCTGAATGTATTTATGGAAATAGCTGAAGATTTAGATGAGGCTGGGTAGCAGCTCACTTCTGATGGGTTTCCTTTGGGATTTGGGGATCTTTGTGGTTCACTTTGGGCTGAAGCAGCATTTGTTGGTTTATTAATAAACTTGACCATCTTTCCTTGTCCTCTGTCGTTTACTCTCTACCCTTTTGTCTCTTGTCTTTCCAGTTCCTCTTTTAATGTGATCTTTTTCCTTTGCACTTCTGTCCCTTCCCTTTTTTTCGTTCTCTATTTATTCGCTTGTGCATTTCCTGATGTGTATGACTCGTTCCTCTTTTATCGCTTTATTTCCTTGGATATTTCTGTCCAACCCGTGTGTTTGCATCAGTATTTTTTCAGTCTGACAACTGTTGTTACCTCAGGGCTCTGTACTCGTTCCCTCTGCCTTTTCTCCTCCCTCTGTCTCCTCCTTCCTGTCATCATTTTCCCAGTGTGTCAAAACAGGAAATGATCCATATTTCATTTCATTTTTATTCACCACACACACACACACACACACACACACACACACACACACATATACAGTGCACAACTTGTAGTGAAGTGTAAACCTGGCCTAGAGCCAGGCATACCTGCAGGAAGGTGCACAGAGAGCGAGGTGAGACAAAGCTGCAAAAGCAGAGCATGTACAGTAAGAAAGAAAAAACAGTCCAGTGTGTAAAAGGGGTGGGTGCAGCTCTGGTGCTGCATCGCCTGGTGTAGATGTCTTCCTTTAACAGTACAGTATTTTTACTCAGGATTAATGGGACAGCTGACACAGTTCGATGTGTGGCTAAAGAACTCCACCTCCAGACTGAAGAGGTGACCCGACCTGCTGCTTCCTCGCTGCGAACAAAGCCATAAACCTCTTTGCCCAAACTGGAGCTTCCTTCCTCTCCCAACAGGAAGAAAAGAAAATAATAGTGTGTGTCTGAGCTGGACGTGTATCCTCTTCCAGGCCTGCAGCTCCATCATAGAAACACTCGGGCCTCTGTGCCTCCAGACACACTGATGATAACAACCTCTGTTAGCCGTGATCAGAGAGGAGCTCTGTTCAACTCAGATGCAAAGCTCAGCTGTGAGCCTCGCTGCTGCAACACAACCACTCACCAGCTTTTTGATGCCTAAAGTGAAGAGCTGACCCAGGAAAATCTGGTTTGACGCGTATGTGAATGGACCGCCTCAGGTTATCAGACTCAGATGTAAACCGTTGTCACTTGGACTTAACGTGGATATAACAGCACCTTGTACTTGTTGCATCTGCTTGGCCGTCGGGATCCGCATGCAACCCCCATATTTCATTCAGCTGTTGGCTTTGCATGTTCACATGTAGCAAATGTTGCAGTGTGTGGAGTCAAATAGAGGACATGTCTGGGGAATTAGTTAAAACTGTGTTTGTTAAATTATATTCAGGCAAAGAAAATATGTGGAGGCTGAGTAATTGGTGACATGACCTGAATGAGTAATTAGTGGAATGTGACTGTTCTGTGTACGAGTGTGTTTTGCTGTGTGCTCATATTTTGTTTAAAGTAAATAATAAGCCATGCATATTTATAATATTTATTCTACTCTGGGAAGTGGCGAGGCGGTGGACAACTTTTCTCCTCCTGCTCCTTCATTAAAATACAGTTTACTTGGTGTCTGTGGTTTCTCAGTTATTTCTCAGAATGTGTTCTGCAGAGAATTGTGTCACTTATGTCAGGGAAGGCAGGAATTTCCTTGAAAGAAAATCTGCTGCTGTCCAGCCAGAAAGTCAGTGATGTGTCTGTGCACTGTTACAGAAGAATTTCAGAGTCAGAACCAGCTTCATTGGCCAGGTGTGTCGGACACGAGGAATTTGACTCTGGTGCAGCGGCTCTCAGTGTGCATGTACAGTGTTCTTCTTTAAGGCAACGACGAGTAAACAGAGAGAAAAAGAAAGCAAAGTGTTCATCAGAGTGATGGCCCGGGGGAGGGTTAGGGTTAGGGTTAGGGTTACTGAAACTGTCCTTGTGTCTGGTTTTTTTTTTGGCATACAGAAGAATTTGAGGAGCGTAGTTTTGAACTGGAGGATTGTGGGTACATGAGTTCAGTTCAGTTCAGATTTATTAGTATAGCATCAAATCACAACAAAAGTCATCTCAGGACACTTGACAAACTAAGGTCTAGACCTTACTATTATTAATATTATGGCAAAAAACCCAACAAATCCCCCTGAGCAGCACTTGGTGACAGTGGGGAGGAAAAACTCCCTTTAAGAGAAGAAACCTCCAACACACCACAGAAACTTTACAGCATGATCATGTTATTCAGCCTGGGTAGGGCTGTTTTCCTGGTTGCCCTGTTTGAGATGCAGAGGATGAACTGAATGGCACACTGGATCTGAAGCTGTCCTGAAACAACAGATAACGAACATATAAAAGAGAAAACTGAAGAGTTCAGGTCTAGGTAAACTCTAGAACCCAGTGTGAGCCTGTGAATCTGCTGCTGACTCTTTCCACTCTTTTTTTATCTGTAGATCACAACATCGACTTTGTGGCGATGGACGTGGCGGTGAACGCTGTCGCTGGAGCACTGAAGGCTTTCTTCGCCGACCTGCCCAACCCACTGGTCCCCTACAGCCTGCACCCAGAGCTGGTGGAGGCCGCAAGTAAGAAAAAAACACATACATACTGCTAATGTGTGAGGACACAACTAAAATATCCTTCTGTGTCCTGCCTGGCTAAAAAAGGTTGTGAATTTTATGTAAAACACATTAAGTCACAGCTTTGACACAAATGCAACAGAGGTTTTCTTCAGTTTTCTGGACCTTTGAAGTTACAGAAAGAGTTAAAAACGCTGAGGAACGTGCTAATTTGCTTTCCTGGAGATTTAGATGTGGAGCTTGTTAGCATAATCCCATCTGAATGATACCTGACAGTGTGGCTCAGCATAAAGCCTGGAAACTGGGGCAAACAGCTTTTCTGGCTCTGTGCAGCAGTAACACAACCCTTCTTCCATCATCTGTAAAGCTCAGAACATTTTGGCCAGGCACAGCTCCTCTAACTGAAAGGTGCACGAAGTAGGCTTGACGCTTTGATACCTGGACCAGTTAAAAGTAAAGTGAAGAGGTTTTAAAATTTTATGGATAATTTTTATTTATTAATAAGCTGAATACAGCATGCAGCACCAGTTTTCCTCAGTACGCCTGCACGCAGCTTGTCTGGGTTGGAGAAGCTGCCACAGTTCCTCTGGGGATTCAGGCGGTCTCATATGATCCCAGACTGACTTCATGATGCTGAGATCAGGGCTCTGTGGGTGCCAGGCCATTTGCTGCAGGACTCCTGATCCTTCTGGTTTCTGAACTTAGTTCTTTATGACTCAGGCTGGAGGTTTGACCTCAGTGTCAGGCTGCAGGATGAGCCTGGGACTGGATACGACACCTTCTGAAGCTTAATTTAGACATGTCTGCCCTCTTAAATGTCAACGCATACCTACGCAGCGAAGGGGTAAATGTTGGCTGCTGATGGTTGCAGACGGTCTGATGCTCAAACCTGACTAGGTGTTGTGCGGAGCTGCACATCCTGAACCAGTTAGTTGATTTGACTCTGCTCTGAGTGGCTGCCTGCTAATTGGTCCGCTAGCAGGTACTCGCATCTCTGCAAACGTCGGAGCACATTGGCATTACCTGGCTAGAACGACCACCTGTTCTCGGTCTAAGTGGCTACTTTCCCACCTGAAAAGTATCAACACTTAATAACGTGACATAATACCAGTTCTAGGAGGAAATGATAACAGCTTTGAGCCTGGTTCAAAATCTCTACCGTTTCTGTTTACTAGCTTCTTCTTTTCTGTACTTTGCTGTTTGAGCGCCTCCTACTGGGAATGTTAACGTTGCAGTATGAAGTAGGGGTGTGACGATACACTCACGAGACACGGCGATACATGATAGTGGGTTCACGAGAGCGAGACGCTATTTTAAAGAAATCCTCACTGATAAAGTATGACTGGAAAAACAGGTTTATTTGACTGAAAGTCAAAATGTAAAACACTGTTTTAACCAATCATCTTGTAGTGAATGTCACTTCAGTTCTACAGAGTATGAATTATCATATGTCGTAAAAGCCAACAATATGCAAGGTTTTACTACAAACTCAGCTGACTGGCTTCTCTCCTGTAGGAGTTCACATGAGTCTCTTCAGACCTTAGAACTGTGCATGAGCTTCCAACTTCTAACTGAAGCTGTGGGTGACTTTCTTTCACCCTCACACTCCGTCATGCCGGCTGCTCCTCTGGTTCTGTTATGTACTGACACCACTTTTCACCTCAGTAATATCGTCATGTTCTATTGTGAGACATCGTGGCATGAGCCCTCGCCACACCCCTAGTATCAATACAACAACTGTGAAACTGTCCCCAAACTTCAGACGCACACGTTCCCATACGTGTAGTGACACAGACATCTAACTCTGGCTTGATGGTGTTGATGATGGAGAAGAGTCTAAACATTGTATGTAAAAACAGTTCAACACAACAGGAGAAAGTAAAACACATGCATACAGAGAAAAAGCACAATACAATACAACACTCATGTACTTTTAACCTCTTGTAGCTGATGTCTTCAGGGCCTCACAAGTCTAGTTAAGGTCACACACACACACACACACACAGCTTTCTGTCAATTCATACACTCTTAAGAGGCATCTCTCAGCCCTAGGATACTGTCAGATGTGTGTGTGTGTGTGTGTGTGTGTGTGTGTGTGTGTGTGTCCTGGTTGTGTATTAGTAATACTGCATGCTGTCACCACCAAGCTGACGGCAGCAGATTAATGAGCCAGAAATAGACACAACGAGAAATGTCAAAAGACACCGCATGTGCCCACACACACTTAGTGTTTTAGGCTGAGGGAGGGAGCGCTGGTTCTTCTTCTCTGGAAATGAGTCAGATACAGCAGGCGCTCTCTCTGGTCTCTCCAGCGTTCCCCCTCCTTCACTTTCCCTTCATTCCTCTGCCGCTTTCTTTTCCTTCTTTACTTTCTCTTTCTGTCTGTCCCTCGGTGGTTAGTTCCTCATCTCAGTGCTACAGTCAGGCTGCCGGTACTGTTTGACCCCTGACCCCCCCTCACTGACACAAAGATGAGACGAGAGAGAGGTTCTCACCTCCGCACAGCTGCTCTGTGGGTTTTAGGAAGCTACAGGAACAGTTGGATGCAGCCCACACTAATCCAATATGGGAAAGACGTAGGATGGAGGTTTCCAAAGCTGTTCGAATTCTGACACCCCTGTTAAATTATTTCCTGGGGGGACGAGAGCAAAGTGCAAGAGAAGTGACAGGTGTTGCTGCTCGTTATGTGTTGGAGCGTAACGCTTCTCCCAGTGTTGGCGTCTCTCTGGGTGGAGTCTGATAATTCTCAGGTCCTTTCTGGAGCAGGTCTCGTGTTGTTTGAGTAGTTGTTCCCTGTGTTTTGGGTCAGGCCCATTAAAACTCTAATGTAAACCAGTGGTTCCCAGCATGGGGGTTGGGAGCACAAGATGATGAATTAGAAATGAACTGAGCTGAAATGCTGGGCCTTTTTCTCTTTGCTTTTTTACTGTGAAATACCGACTCTCTCGGCTCTAAAAACTACTAGATATAATCCGACAGAACCACATCTTCACCCCGCGACGCAGGGTTGCCGTTAGCCGGCTTTAAAGCGAAGCAGTCTCTACTCGCAGCACTTTAAAATGTAAAGGCTCCCAAGCTGAAAAGGCAGAGCACAGCGTTCTAGTAAGAGAAAACAAGACTATGCTCAGCTTCCTGCCGTGCACGCTGCAGCTGTGTGTGTGTGTGTGTGTGTGTGTGTGTGTGTGTGTGTAATCCACTTCACTTTGTCTTCACTTCCTGTAGTTTAGTTTGAAAATGGAGCAGTAGTGTTTGTTGGATTGTTACTGTTGTGTTGTTCAAGTCAGTTGTTTTTGTAAATCTTTCCAGACCAGTGTTGTTCACAGCCCCGACCACAGCAGCCTGTTTTCCTGACAGCGATCACTGAAGCTTCATCTAAACTCGCCGTTTGTAGTTTTATCACCATACAGAACAGATTGCATTGTGGGTTTATGGTATAGATGTTTCCATCACACTGATATACATTTAGTAAAAAAGAGGTCAAACTGTTTAATTGGTCTCTTGGTGAATGTTTCCCCCTGTGATGCCTCTTCTTAATGTGGAGGCATGGCAGCATGGATTAATGACCTCTGACCTCTGGCGGCCATCAGACGGTCAGAGGCTCCCCTCAGCTCCTCGTTAACATGACTGATAGTGTGCAGGATGAGTAAACCTGTGTGTCGTCAGGTAAACGTGTCTAATGTCTGGAATGTCCCGGAGTGTGTTCCACACAGGAAAGAAGCATCAGGGTTGTGTTAACGTAGCTTTGCTGTGACAATCCAAAGCCAGAAGCTCACATTTCACATCTGCTCTTTAAATATTTAATGACCGAGCAGAGCGTTTCGGCTCCAACAAGCTTTTGCCGACAGAAGAGTGATGGATTCTCTGGAGATCATGAGGAATATCAAGGAACAGTCGGCTTTCTGGGAATACAGCTGTTTGTTTGTTTGTTTGTTTGTTTGTTTGTTTGTTTTATCAGATTGTCCATGTGTGCTCTGCTACCAACTCTGTCATTGTCCCTATTGTTCTTAGTTCTTACACAAAACATTCAAATCTTTTCCTCCTTGAATTTATTTTATGCCCATTTTTTATGGTCTTGTTTTGTTGGGCCTGAATTTTATTTGGTGTAAAAATCACTGAAGGGAGATGGAACGGCTTTTGTTTCATTCTTTTTTATTGCATCATTGGTCAAGTAATCAATTCGTTCACTGACAGAAAAATAAGCAGTAGTAAAGTTGTTTACTTAGTGAGAAATACCTGATAATACTTTGCTGATTCCAGCTTCACTGTAAATCAAATGTCTTTTAAGACGACACAGGACATAAGACGATGCGACATAAGGCCCTGGAAGCTTCTTAAACATTTTTTATTTTTTTAAACTTGAATTTCTATTGAACTTATATTTGAAGATACCATACTATGATTTGTAAAGGTACTATTTCCTCTCAGGGCCCTGGCACCGTGTGATGTGCATTAATACGTTATGTCAAATAATCCCATGAACCTAAACTCAGATGTAACTGTTTGCAGTTCTGTTCAACAGTTCTGCCTTAAACTTGACTTTTTTGTCTGTGTAATGTTACGTTTTAGAGGTTTAAACAAATTCTGTTTCAGCATTGAGCTCTTAGCGCTGTACAGTACAGTAGCACACTTAGCTAGAGTGGGACCTCAGTGATAAACATGTAATTAAATGTGCACGTTATCAGTGACCATGTCACCAAAACCTGAACATCAAGTGTAAAAGTGGAATCGATGGCGGAGCTGCTGTTACAGGCTGCAGTAGGTTGAACAGGTGTCCCTAATAAAGTGGCTACCGGTTGTTTAGTGCTGAAGCTTAATATTAACAGTTTAGTCTTTACAATACAAATGTGTTTATTTTGTTAGTCTGACTGACCCATCTGGTCTTTAACCAGTGCAGAGTCAAATGAGTGTGTGTGTGTGTGTGTGTGTGCACAGCGTGGGAGCTGCTCTTGGCAGCATCTCAGCCTTTTGTTCTCCAGAGAGTATAATTCTGTTCCCAGGAGAGAGTGTGTGTAGAATGTAAAACACCTGCTGTCTTCTCTCTCTCTCTCTCTCTCTCTGTGTGTGTGTGTGTGTGTCAGAAATCGTGGACTACATTGAACGCCTGCAGGTCTTGAGAGAGATTGTGAAGAAGTTTCCTCCTGTCAACTACCAGGTCTTCAAATACATCATCACACACCTCAACAGGTAAGACACACACTCACTCACACATTTGTCTTTCTATAGCTGTGAGGACCCTCATTGACATAACGCATCCTCCAGCCCCTTAACCCGACCTGAGCCGGAATCGAACCTGAACACTCAAACCAAGTCTGAACCGTCAGAAGGCCCTTCGCTGGGGGCAGGACCAACATGTCCTCAGTGTCCTTGTGTGTTGGAGACTCCACCTTAATGCTGAAACATACACATACTGGTGATGACGGCGAACACACCTCAGCGGGTAGTTTCATTTAGAGCTAAACACTTTCGTCCAACATGTGGCAGGATGCAGACGGTGCTGGTTTTACTGCTTTACATTTTTCTCAAACAAACACCATCTTTACATCCTTGTGGTTTAAATGTAAGCAAGGTAACAAGAGCATTTGCACATTTTTACGGTTTTAAAAGGTCTTAAATAATGAGCAACAATGACCAGATGAAGTTTTTTTTAATCTTTTCTCTGCGACTGCTTCCTCTGTAGGGTGAGCCAGCAGAGCAAGACCACTCTGATGACAGCTGACAACCTGTCCATCTGCTTCTGGCCCACGCTGATGCGGCCTGACTTTGAGAACAAGGACACGCTGTCCACCACCAAGCTGAACCAGGCTGTAATCGAGTCCTTCATTGTGCAGAGTGACTACTTCTTCCACGGCGGCGAGGTAGCTGAGAGCTCCAGCAGCGAGGGGACACCGCCACCGCATTGCCACAACATGGTGGAGGTCCTGCTGCCACTGCAGCTGCCCCCGCCCCTGCAGCCGCAGCAGATCCAACACACCCTGCCCCCCGACCCACTGATCTGAGACCTGGAGGAGCCTGCTGGGAAATTTAGGCTGAAGCTGTTTGTCTGTGCTGCCAGGCGCTTTTGGCCACGGTTGCCTGGAGGTCGTCTTGTGCTCAACAAAATGCTGGTCAGCTGTTGCGATTGAATAAACAAAAACCTGGTGATTTTTAGGGATTCAGCAGGCAGCTGCTGTTTGTCGTCAACTTTGAGGTGAATGAGCTTTGGGGCTTAGAGACACACGGACCGATCGAACCTAATCTGTGGGATCTGCTCATCCTGCGAGGTAAATCCTGGATTAGAGAATTACAATTGGACGTCACATTTGGAACATATTTTTGGCTCTGACTGCCCCTTTTTACAATGCAGAGTGAAAAACTGATTTAATTTGGCACATAGTGACAACACTAATCGTTTAGCAGGGTCGGACTTAGACTACAGGGATCCTGGGCCGTGCTGGGGGTGAATAACGATTCCTGTCCTGTCTCTGCCTTGATGAAAGAGCACACTGGGGTCCTAAGCAAGTCCCCCTAACCCCCACCCTCCTCGTCCCTGCTCTGAGGCATGCTAAAAGGGAAGTTAAAACTTAGAAAGCCCCAGAGCTCAAAACTGACTGCTTCATTATCTGTTTGACTGACTGGTTCTCCGACCCACTCGCTGGCTGTTTGTGGGCTGAAAGGAATTCAGGGACTCTTCCTGCAGATCTTCACATTTCAGCACAGGAACACGCTTCTGCTTCTTGTTCTTCTGTTGCCCTTTGACCCAGAAACGGTCAGTGAGAGGAGGCGAGGGTACGAACGCCACCTTAGACTCGAGACGTCAGATGGAGAAGCTGTGACACCGGAGCTTCACAGAAACATAACAACTGTAATTATGTTTAGTTCCAGGAGGGGGGAGGAGCCCTGCTTTCAAATGCTAACAGAAATGTCCCCTTCCCACTACGTGAACTTTGACCCCCTTTAAGGACAGTACATGCACGAGTTGTCAAAGTTCCCACATGCCAATTTCATGTCTCTTTGCGTTCATGTAGTTATCATTTCGACAGATTTCTTTGAAAAATATTTTTTGTAACGTTGAATTTCTACTAGTTTGTGTGTGTGTGTCTGTGTGATGATGTGTGTATCTGTGTGAACTGACCTGTGGTCTGTATTACAGCCAGCTTGTTTTGTGCCCTGTTGGTGCCTCGCTGTGGGGGGGAGGTGGGGGGGGGGGTTCAGGAAAGGAAAAGAACATAAATGCAGAATGACAGACTCTTATGACTCCATGTGAGAGAACTGGTCTTTACAGACTTCACTGCGGATCTCGAGCTAACCGTTTGGTCTCTTCAGAGCCTCTAGCTCTTAATGCAACGACTGACATCTCTCGTTCTGGATGGACCGTCCCCACCGACCCCCCTCGACGATGGCACATGAGTGAGAAAACCACTATGCCACAATACACTCTGGATCTGTTCGCTTCGAGGAGGCAGCTTCCGCCTTCAGTTTCTTCCTTCTCTGTGCGGAGACGCCCGTTTCTTCAGTTCTACTTTCTGTTCTGTTGGTTTGTTGGAAACGAGAATTTGCATGTCTCTCTTTTTGCAACTTAGTAAAAGAAAAAGAAATTTAAAGTTTAAAAAATGAAACCGTCTGAAACTCTAAAGGAGCTCTTGTTCAGATTTGCATCTTCATTCTATCTGAATCTGTTTGGTTTAAGGGGAAAAGTTCCACGGAAAAACTAAGATATGGGTTTAATTTGTGCATCAGTTTCTTTTGTCATGAAAGAATCCAACTCCTGATATGATATTTTTGGTTATATATCAAATAGTTTTCCCTAAATAGAGTAAAGAAGTATATATAAGTATATATAAATATATATATATATATATATATACATACAGTATATATTAAGATTTATCAGCAGCAAATTTAGATTTATCAGCAGCAGAAGATGCTGATTTAGTGAAATACCACCGGGTACTGAACTGTATAACCTGTCAGAAGCTATATTTATATTTCTTTGTGGTTCTGATTGTGTAACTGAAACCCTTTTTTTTCTGAGGCTGTGTGTGTGTGTGTGTGTGTGTGTGAGGAGGGGGTTTGATAACAGGGTGGTAGGTTTTGATCCATCTCGGCCCTTTCTGGAAGAGAAAACAGCGTCTCCCTTGTCACTTCCTTCATCGGTGACTGAATCCGAACGCAGGCAGCAAAAATCTTCACATTCATTCCTGAGTTGGCACAAAAACAGGCTCATCTTCAGTTCTGGTTTCATGTAGCACTCTGCAGCGTTTCTTTAAAAGATAAATCCTTAACCAGGTTTGGGCTTCCCCTGAAAAACATGTATCACACTATTTCCAGATCCTCCACGTACTCTTCAGTCCATCTGGATAAAAATATTCCATCTGCTGCTTGATAGCAAAGATGATGGAAGTGACTGATCAGCGTTACCTTCTTTTACAAGTCTGTAATTTCTTTAATAGTTTCCATGAAGCATCCTGGAAAGTGTGTTTGCAGTGGTGGAAAGTATTGGGACTATTTTGATGGTAATTTATACTTTTATACTACATTTCTGAGGGAAACTGCTTTTCACCCACCTGCATTACGTTTAGCTTCTTTGAGCACATGTTGTTGCTAAAGCAACACTGTGGTGCTGCTGCTGTTACCTGATACTTCCACCACTAGTAATTTGGTACTAATTACAGGGAAATAGACACGTTGCTGATCGATCGATTTCTGTTGATTGGTGTCAGTGAGTGTTGTAGTCAGGACACAGCAGAAGTGCAACAACCATTCAACATAGAGACAAAGTTTCAGATTCCTAATGGATAATGGACTCAGATTTGGTTTAAATAGATCTCAAATGGATTTCCTCTACAATTAGTTCCAAATGCTGCGTTTCCTTCTCAAGCAATGAGTTGGAAATGACAGAGCTGTGACATAAAGTGTCACAACACACTTCTCTTTGCTTGATTTGTGCAAGATGAACTGAACTTAAACCACATCAGTTTTATCATCTATGTTAATGTCACTTTCTGTTATACTGTATATTTTACACTAACTGTTAAGGGGATGTGTCATTTCTGGCTCTGATCTTTATTTGGGTGACAAAATAAGAACGTGGATTAAGTGTCTCTTTCACGATGAAATATTTTCTGATCCAGACAGAAACGTCCAGCAGGAGTCTGAGAATAACATGAAACCCGCACACATGCTGTTACATGATGACGGGCTTAGTCTGACAGAAAAACGCTTGGAGAGCTTTGACATGAGAAGCACAAACTGAGGCCACACACACAGTTACAGTGTGTAGCCACCCAACTGTCATTGACACTGACAGGATTAAAAGTGATGAAACAGCTTCTTCTGTCTTTTCAGCTGAAGTTTCAGCAGTAACGTGAAGACGCAGTACTTCTCCAGAGATTTGGTCCGGCCGCTGCAGACTCGCTGTGTACAGTTTGTAGCCTGGATGTCAAGCCTTTGCTGAGCGGACCAACAACGTGTGTGCTCGCCAAATTAAAAGCCCTTTATAATGAAACGCTGATCGACTTTCCCTCTGCACTTTCTGCTGCTGTGCCAAGTGCTTCTACATTATAGTCTCCCCCAGCATTGGTGAACTGGATGGATAGGGTGTATTGAGCTATGGCTAGAGGGGGGGGGGGGGGTCGTGAAAGGAGGCGTGTTAGGAGACTGATCATGCAGCAGTTTCTGTTCCAGAATATGTTTTCCTCTTTAGCTTTGGACCATCGAACCACATTCTCCTCTGAAAACATCAGCAGGTCAAACAGTGAATGTCTCGTAAATGTGGGATTTGCTGACTTTCAACATAAAAACCTTTGTCCTCAAAGACCCTGAGAAGTGTTTTGTGAATGTCTGTGATCAAGGAATGAGTCAGTTTACACAAATACTGAACAAGGTCTGTCCCCTTTCAGACACGTCTCCTGTGTCCAACCCTCAGTGGATATTTGCATCCACATGGAGTCTTAATGTTTTTTCTTTTTTGTCTAAATCTGCCAGTGCTGTTTTATTAAAACCTTTTTTATTTTAGAAAACTCAGTTTATCTTCTAATTAGTTGAGCAACAGGAAAACGCCATAGTTTGATAATGTAAGTAATCTATGAAGCACAGCACCAGATACTTGCTGTTTCCAGATCTTGAATGTGAGGCTTTGCTGCTTTTTTGTGATTTTAAATATTTGGGGCTTTGGTCTGTTCATTGGATGAAAGACGTTATGTGAAGACATCGCCTTGAGCCCATGGAACTGTTCAGTCAATGAAAACCGAATTGAGAGTGAAAACAGTCGATCGATTCCCATGGATTTGTTTTAGAATTTAAAAAGATGACAAAGTTTAAAGGACCCAACGTGGATCATTTTAGTTTTGTATTGCAGGAAGTGGCCGAACTGAAGTGAAAGGAGCAGCCTGTTTTAGCAATGTGAACTTTAAAGAGCACTTTGAAGGGGACACACGTCTGAACAGGACTCGCTGTAGTCAAGTGAAAAATCATTTCCCTTTGAGAAGTGAAGAGTGAGTTAAAGAATGGAATGTAGCCAAAAGGCCATTGGTTATGATGGTTTTGTGATGTCGGCCTGAAGACGACGCTGAGGAGGGCGAGAGTGGACCAGGACCAGCCTGGTCTACAGGCTCCAGTGTTTTTGTTGGGGAGGGGGTTTCAGCAGCTGCTAGATCAGAAAAGATGAAGGTGTTTGTGTGTAGTTTTCCATCAGTCGACTGTTCTTTTCATTTGTTACCATGTTGTTGACCAGACTCACTCCGGTGTACAAACCACCTGCCTTTTAATGTCATCCGCTGTGTATTATAGTAAATAAAAATGATTTTCAGAAATGAAAAACTCTAAAACATGTTTTTTTTTCTCCATAATGTTTTCAAATAAACTTTCTTTTTTTTTCCAAAGCTGGTGAGTCGGGGTTTTATTCTTTCAACTATATTTTTACAGATTTATCAGTTTTGTACTAGCCTGTTACATTTAAATGTCACAGGGACAAAAACATGTTGTGTGAATTAACCGTGTCTAAAGTCGGCTCACAGGTTCAGAACCTGGATCAGGGACCCTGACCTCTGCTGGTAGGTAGGTACTTTATTGGTCCCTCAATGGGGACATTTCAGTACCTCAAGCAGCAATAGAGAACAGACAGCATAACACCATGAGAACAGGCACCGCACACACATCCTGATAAATAAATTCCAAGTGCTCAAAAATAGACAGAATCAAGTATTTGAATAATCAAGAGCAGAATTTACATATGTCCATATTAACCATGCATTTTACCCCAGGATTTGAGTATTGCACCTCAGTTGACTATTACATAGTCCCTCATACTTTCACCTAGCTTATCCCTGCAGTGATGTGTTGTACAGTCTGATTGCTGTGGGGAGGAACGACCTACGGTAACGCTCCTTCTTACACTGGGGATGTAACAGTCTGGTGCTAAAAGAACTGTTCAGAGCCTCTACTGTGTGGTGCAGGGGATGGGAGGGGT